GGCCGGTCACAAGACCCGGCTCATGTGACGCTGCTCCCGGCGGGGCAGGAAACCCCGCCTCACCGGGCCGGGCCCAGCCGCGCCGCCCACCTGTTACCGCGCGCGGCCCCGGCCCCCGGCCCTGCTCCCAGCGCGGCCTGGGGTGGCACTGGGGCTCGCCTCCACAGCAAGGAGGGGGTTGGTTTCCTTTGTGGCCATGGTGACAAAGCCAGGCCTTGGAGGTTTTAACAATGTCGCTTGTCCAAAGGGTCCTCCCCTGAGGTGGCCAGCCGAATGAAAAGCATCGCCAGCTGGGGAAGGAGGCATGGACCCGCGGGATGGAGGGGCGCAGCTACTCCTCCTCGCTTCACGTCGTCGGCCTTACGTTCTTGAACAACGCGACTGGACGCAAAACGGCGTTAAGCGAATCCAGTTGCGTCACAGTAGCGATGCACGTAGGCCGCTGCAGCCAAACCCCGTTACAAGTGAGCATCGCCAAGAGATCGGCGGCGTAACCATCACGCTAAGCGGGACGACGTTAAGTGCGGAGTGCCTGTATTCGGGGACATCAGTATATGCAGCGGTGTTAGGGTGATGCAGCCCTGAGGGTCCAGAAATTATGTGAGAGGGAAAAGGGTTTCTTAGGGCGAGATTGTTCATCGGACCAGCTGTGTAGTGGGGATAAAGTTAGACGAGCTTTCGCGTGTAAAACATTCTGAGGAGGCTTACATTTGAAAGCTTGTCTAAGTTTATCCTCAGCTACGTAGTTGGTCCAATAAAATGTATTGCCCTAAGAAAGCCTTGCCTGTCCCTGTATGCCAGCAGAAGCTGCGTGATTTTGGCAAGCTCCACGCGAGGGTAAAGTCAGTCTGCACGGACCCCGCTGCAGAACGGTCACATCAGAAGAAAAAACGAGACCGTGATTTTGCAATAACTTGTGTGTGTGTGAACCCTGTGAGGGGAGCTAAAGGGGTTTATGGGAGACAGGAATGAGAGAAGCATTTTAAAGAGAGGAAATACTACAGCAAACAGGCAAAGGGAACCCAAGGAAGCAAGAAAAGATGTCTTCAGGATCTAAAAAGAAACATGGTGGGATGAGAGAGGAGAAAGCAATTAAGGAATAGCCTGTATTTGAACAGCTGTCTGAACTGGTGATTTCATGGTGCACTGACTGTTGCTAGTTTATAAAATCTTTCTTCTTAGCTGTTGGATAGATTGGACCACATTTTAAACACCTCCTAGTATGTTTGAAACACTGGCCCTTCTTCTCAGAACTGTTTCCTCCTTCTGTGAAATGTATGAATCAGCAGCATTTTCTGCTTGACGTATCCCTGCCTTGCCTGTCAGTCCAGGAACCAACCTGGCCTCTGTCACTGGTAACCAAGCACTCACAAACACTGAAGGATGTATCCTCACAAACAGCTGTACGGGGCAGGGAAGAAGGATTCTCATTTTAGAAACAAAAAGCTAAAAAAACAAGCAAACAAACACTGCACAAACAGATTAAGTGATTTACCCCAAATCACACACCAAGTCTCTGAGACATCCAGGAATAGAGCTCAGATATTTGAAATCCAGTCTTGCTCTGGGACCATGAGAAAAGGAAAGGGAGTCAACAGGGGCCTCTACCCTTTTTCTCTCCTCCTCTAGACCTGCAACGTTCCCCTTATTAGGAGGGATGCAGGGAGTAACTAAATCCTACTCCTGGTGTAGAAGGTGCCATTGATGTATATTAATTGTGTGTGTTTTGTATAAGCTATAAAAGCTTTTTGAAGTCTTGTTGAAACACAAATGCAACACAATCCTTTCTCACTAGGGATAAGGACACTTCCTTAAATGAATGTTAAATAGCAGAGAGAAATCCCCCTTCTACAGAAGTGAAATTGGGGAGGGATTGGGAGAGACAAGAAGAGGGAAGGAAAACTAACTAGATAGGGCTTACAAGACTCTTTAGGGGAAGTTTGTCTTTATCCTGGGTTAAATTATTTACCTTGAAACTGCTGAATTGTAGGATGGGCTGTGTCTCAACAAGGGATGATTTCCATGAGAAAAATGATGGATAAGATTTTAAATATCTTGATTGTGAAAGGAACTGAGCAAAGTTCTTCATCCTGGAAAGGAGAACTGTAAAAACCCCTTACAGAGGATCCTGCACTGCAGGCTGAGGATTGTACAAGTTACAGCCCCTGCATTGCTGCAAGGGAGCAACTCCCTCTACTTGCACTTGTGGTAAGTTCCTCCTCTGCAAAGCCGTGCTGCTTACCCCAGGTGCTCCACTGAGAATCACCCCCTACCCGTTCGGAGAGGGGAAATAGCTTCCTCCTAACCAGTGGCACAAACACAAGACCAGGGGAAGGAGGCACGTAGGGACAGCTGTACGTGTTATCTCTCCCCCTCCAGACCTACAGAATCTCACTTATTAAAAGGGTATAATTTGTACCCATCTGATGTCACATAGATCTTCACATAGAGAATCAGAGGTAGAGAGGGTGATAATGCATTTGTTAACTGGTTGTAATGGATAAGTTACACACAGCCGTAGCTATGGCCACTGCCATCGCTGTTTTTATTTGGTTTCACCTTCTAAATGAAGCTCTATTGTGCAATCAGCTTGTGATCTTTTGGGCAATAACTCACACTAACGTCATGTGGATGTGGTTTCAGTATAAGAAAAACAAAGAATGTCCCTTCAAATCATACTTGACAAGGGCACACTGAACACTATATAAGTCTCTTCATTTACTTGAGCAGGAATTGAACTGATCCATGAGCTAAAGGAAAAAGCTTAATTGTCAATATTATCAGGCCCATAGCCGCCTTCAAGTTTCAAAGAGTGAAACTTAGCATGCAAGTCTAAATAATTCTGAACCTTTATATGGCACTTTATCGATACAAGCAGATCCCCACAGCACCTCTCTGGAGTTAGAGCAGAGCCAAAACTCAATTTGCTGTTGAACCCTTAGGCAGAGAAATTCATTTTTCAGGAACACAGGCATT